TTACAATCTTGCTTCCATGTGGTTAAATTCGCTTCGAGCCCTTCACGACTTAATTTCATGTTTGTGAAAATGCTTAAAATGTAGATGAAATGCAAAAAGGCAAAAATGCAAAATGCAAGAATGCATGAAATGTTCGAGGCATTGATCCAGAAAAGTGTCCATTATCATAAATAATCCTTATTCAGACAAAAATGTTTATCTTGTAAGAGACATAAAAACAATAAAAGGTATGTTGGACTAAATCTTCTAGACATCCAACCGAGATACTTTCTTCCATGACTCGACTGCTTCTTTGATCATCTTCTTATAACTGTCACCGTGATACATAAACTCTGATATAGATAATCCATATGTTGCTGGGACAAACTGATGTGCCCCATACTGTCTAAGTGCCAACAACGGAGCATACCCAACTGCACCTCAAAGTCCAATAGGGTCATAGTGTCAGAATTCCCACACTGAAAAGAACATCACTGAGGAACACCAGGGGGCTCTCCAGGTAATATCCGGTCCTGTAGATGAGTGAAGACTTTCATCCATTTCTTTTGAGCGCCTTCATATCCTGTCATGGTGATGAACTCTCTCAAAGGTGAATACGTAGTGTTAAATCTACAGTAGGCAACCCATTAGTCTTCTAGAAGTGGATGTGAATCCAGACTTGAATGAACTGAACACATCCAATGAATTACCTTCGCCAGCTCTTCGGCAATGGTTGAGAGACCAAAAGGTCTCGGCTGAGATGGTCGTTGCTGGGTGACTCGTTTCGGAAGTTGCTCAAACAGTTCCACCACGGCTGCGTCAATGCATCCTAAAACCTTCGGAAGATGATCAAGCCATACAGACCTAGTGCAAAAAGGTCTATAGTCTTGCCCGTTACCTTGTTTCGGAGTCGGTCGTCACCCATTTTTCATCAACTCCTGTAATCTTAACCAGTCCGTTCTTGAAAGGCTGACTCTTGATGTGTTTGATGTAGGCTCGCTCCAGTTTAATGCTTTCACAGTGCAATAGTGTAGTATACTTCTCGATGGTAGGTACCATGTCCTCCTGGTTAAAAGTGAAGCAACTGTATCCAGGTTCCAAAATTGAACCAAGACTCTGATTAAGGGCTCATTGGTCTTAACATGAAGCAAAAGTGCAATGTCACCATACCGCTGATTGAACTTCTGTTTCGATCATTCTTCCAACTATCTCATATGTCTCGAAGTTCTTGCACATTATTCTGTTTTAAACCTGATAGAGGCGTAGCTAACTAGCTCTGACACATAGCTTCCTTGAAGACTATCTCCATTTTCCTTCTGAGTCTTCTCGGACCATAGTCGTACCTCGGGGTTTTTAATCTCTTGTATTACAACACCTTTGTCCATGGATTCAGATTATTCGAGTTTTAACAAACACTTTTAGGATCAATGACCTCTTTTATGATGCAAGTGATGAAAATAAAATAAAAAAAATAAAAGAAAGATGAAAAGAGTTAGTGAGGTGAAAAAAATAATAAAAAAAGATCATAAAAATGAAAGTCCTAACCCCACATGATATCTACCCCACATGCTTATTATTCCTACCCGGACATGATCTCTATCACGCATGCTAATCTCAAACAAATCCTAACCGCATATTTGTCTAGTTCGCATGCTTTGAACAGAAAGTAAGGCATGAAATAAAATCAAAGCAGCCTAAGGTTGGAATGAGGTTTTGGGGTGGGCTCTAATTCTCCATCGTCTCCCGGTTTAGGTTCTAAAAAAATGGTACCGAGTTCTCATTGTTGGTGCCCCTTGGGCTTGCCAGACCTTAGTCCTAAGCCTATTACAAGCTTGTGTGGACTAAGTTAAACTCGAGAGGACACATTCCCTTATGTCTATGCGGAGAATAAATTCACACGAAGACATAAGGTATATGAATCCCGAAGGCTACTTGCTAGGCATATGCGGTGAATAAATTCACACGAATGCGTCGCTTTCACCCCATTTAAAATGGGTTCAGAGCTCGGATTAGAGCTTTAGATGAAAAAAGACTTTAAGGGCTGAAATCATTGAGGAAAACGGTTAGTACAACTATTTACTCGAAAAAAATATAATCAAAAGTAAGCAATAAGGACGAAATGTTACCTTAAATTTAAACTTACCCTTTTCGTTAAAAAGACAACTGGAAATTACCTTAGCCTGACTCACTTACCTGTGTCCTCAGCAGAGTCGCCAAGCTGTCGTAACCGTCTTTCGGTTGGGCCCCAGAATTGGGCTTCGACTTGAAAAATGTGATTGGAGTCGCCACCGATTATTTATTTTAAATAAATGGGTTAATCGGATACCTTATATCTTACCTGATCTGCGTCTTACCAAAGATATATCGGATTCGGGAGTCGGTTACGGTCAAGGAAGGATTAGCACCCTTGAACCGCCCTTTCGGTACTACGTCATTTCCAGTTGTTTTTAATTAAGAAAATCGAAAGTTAAAATTTAAAGGTAACATATGATCCAAAATTACTTACCTCCGATCAATTTAAAAGAGTACCCTTAAAAAGTCGAGAAACGCGTTAAAGGAAAAATGAAATAAGAGTAAATGAAATAAAGAAAATAGAAGGAAAAAAATGATAAAAAACTAAAAGAGGAATAAAAACATATAATTATTAAGTGCAAAATAATAATAATGATAATAAGTAGTAAAATAAAAATGCAATCACACCAAAAAAGTAAAAAATGAAAGTCAAGGTTTGGTGAAGTATAACTGTCGGGAAGGAAAAAAACGATAAGGGGTGGGACCGTAGTTAATAAATGAGTGTGATGTATCCCTATAATATAGTAAGAATGAATAAACAAAAAATATTATGATAATATATATATATATAATAAATATTATAACGAAAAAAAATAATTTAATAAAGTAAAATAATAATAATGTAATATAATATAAATACATGAAAACAAAAAAAATAAAGAAGTATAAAATATAAAAATATAATTAAATGTATATATATGCATATGTTTAAAAAAAGTAAAAATAAAAATAAAATACAATAAAAAATATACATATAATGATAATAATAGTAGCAAAAGAGAAAAATATATTTATATACGTTAATAGTACAATAATAATAAATATAATAATTATAAATATATATATAATAACTTTAAAAAACATTAAAATAATATTAGAATAAAAATAATTAATATATATATAATTAATAATACGATTTATCAAAAAGAAATAAATAAAAATATGAAAATAATACATAAGGGATCGTTCATCGGCAGCAAAACTTTCCTTCGTTTTAAATATCCTAGTATTTTTCCAAAATGGCCTCGGGGTTGTGTAGATCTAAAAGAAAAAGTTTCGAACGACAACCCCTTTTCCTCGGCCAAAACTGTTTTTTTAGCACAAAGACGAATAACAACACATGCAAGTGAAGAAAAGAATGTGAAAGGTAAAAGCTTTCACCTTTTATTGCTCCTGAATTGTTTACAATAGCTTCAAAACAATCTATTTGCTCCTATTTTTTCTGGTAATTTCGTATGCCAATCGTGTGTTACAATAGTGAGCTACAATGGCTATTTATAGTGCTTGTGGATCATATCTTTAGGAATTTAAATCTTAGTAGAACTCTATCCTATTTTTAGGAGTTTGAATCCTAGCAAAATGTTATCCTATTTTTAGAAGTTTGAATCCTAAAATTCTATCCTATTTTTAGGAGTTTGAATCCTAGTATGACGAAAAATGTGTGTTGACACGTATATAATCATATTCCTGCTCTATAGATTTTCCATTACTTATCTGTATGGTATTAGTCTATTCAACTGAACGCCGATGCTTGTAATGTAAAATAATACTCATGAAATCAAAATGACTTCCATACTTTTGAACACAGATGACAGTATTCTAAAATAATATTCTTAGGAATTGGGATCAACATGGCGTTCATACTTTCTGGGCTTGAATTGATTTTGTTGTTCTACACACTGGCTGTTAATTTAATTTTTCCCTACTTTTATTGTTGCATTTTTAACATTGGTTCAAAATTTATGGTCAGTGTCCAGACACAAATTACTTGTTCATGGGAGATTATGTTGATCGTGGTTACTATTCAGTTGAAACTATAACAGTAAGTATTGAGTTGTCCAGCTTTTTTTGAACCTGTTTAACCTAGAATGATCGATTTTTTTTTCATGATTTTTTCAGCTAATGTTGATCTATTATGAACCTACATTATCTTTGTTCATCTAAGTTCGTAGTGATTTTGAAAGAAATATGATGGCTTACGATAATTGTATTACTTGCATGATTATTTTCAATTGACATAGCTTACGATGTGAATTGCCCGTCCAGCTCAGTTGGTAAGAGCGCAAGGCTCTTAACCTTGTGGTCGTGGGATCGGGTCTCACGGTGGACAATTCATAATTCTGACTACCGATGTCTCCCACGGAAGCTGCTCTCAACCTGTCGTTGAGGACAGTCTACTATCTTACCTCCCCTTACCCCCTTACCCCATTACATATGGGAATAGGGTCAGCTAAATAAATATAGCTTACAATGTGAATCCAATTACTTTTGGTAGAGGTAAGTACCAAAGTCATAGATAGTTGGTACACAATTAAACCTAATTTGGACCAACCTCAAAATTCCCACTTAAACATCAAACACTGTATCGTGTTGTTGCGTACAACAGATTACACGTTCGTTTTAAAAAGCAACCCAAATTTCATAAAATCAAATATTCGAAACCATGATTTGTTTACAACAGCTTCATGAGAACAGTATTATTCAACGTTGATTTATTTATTTTTATTATTTGGTAGAAGATTACATAAGAGTTGGACACAGGCTAGTAACTCAACTCATATCCTTGGTATTCGTCGGTATGGATACTTTTAACCATTCTCGACATATTGATTGATTTTTATAACCATCATTAATATATGACGCTCATTTTTGTAGTCAACCTTAACAAATACTAATCCTTATATGCCATAAACCAAGTGCCATTCACAATGTGATTATCATTACATGGTCTAAGTGCTTCGTGGTGGCCTTCTTGGTGGTGGAGGTGGTGGAGGTAACCTCCTTGGTGGCGACCTCCTAGGTGGTAGAGGTGGCGGCGGCGACCTCCTTGGTGGTGGTGGTGACCTCCTTGGTGGCGGAGGTGGTGGAGACCTCCTTGGTGGTGGCGACCTCCTTGGTGGCGGAGGTGACCTCCTAGGTGGGGGAGGAGGTGGTGGTGGCGACCTCCTTGGTGTCGGAGGTGGTGGGGACCTCTTTGGTGATGGAGGTGGTGGCAACCTCCTTGGTGGCGGAGTTGGTGGTGGTGGTCTCCTTGGTGATGGAGCCGGAGATAGAGGTGAAGGTGGTGGTGTCCTTGGAGGTGGTGCCAAAGAAGGAGGTGAAAGTGGTGGAAGTGGAGGTGGTGGTGAAGGTGATGTCTTCCTTGGCGATGGAGCCGGAGATGGAAGAGGAGGTGGTAGTGGTGGTGGAGTCCTCCTTGGTGATGGAGATGGAGCTAAAGGTGTGTTTGGATTAGGTGGAAGTGAGGGTTGATTTATTGGAGGTGGAGTTGCTGGAGGTAAAGGTTGAATTGTTGGTGGTGGGAGAGGAGGAAGTAGGGGTTTTTGGAGGAGGTCTTTTTATTGTAATACATATTTTGTTTTTAGCGGAAATTATCATGACATTTACCATGTAAACAAACAAGTGGAATAATGCAGTGGTGTCGTCTTCCACAGGGCCTATAACATCCAATCGCAACGTGAGCATCAGTAGGTAATGAAGAAAATAAGATTGTAAATAAAACAACTAAACACCAATGCCTTGGCCATAAGGCCAAATCAACTTTATACCAATAATCAGGTTTAGACCGGAATGCATCACACCTAAAAACTTCTCCTATTTATACACATTAACCTCATTAAATTACCATTCAGTTTTTTCTTTAATATTACTGTTATTTTATACATCTATACTTTATAATAAATTATAAATCTGATACATTGTTAAAATATTTTTTATGAGATTAAATCATAAGTTCAATGATGTAATTTATACATCAACAAAAATTTGTTTATATACCAAAAAAAAAAAGTTTTAAACATCAATCTAGATAAATTTTAGTAATTATGCACTTTTTTTATTAAACATATTTCAAATACCTTCAGTTTCATTTTTTTTTATTAAGGCTTGAATTTTACATTTTGTTTAATTGAATTTTTGTAATTCTACGTCCATAACAAGGCCTTGTGCCCTTGGCTTAATCTTAAGATTAACTTCTTTTTTTAATACAACATGTTAGTCTATTAAAAATATCTAAAATTACAATAAGGATTGACAACTATCGTCGTAAACTAAATATATAATTTGGACAAATTCTTATAACATTGAAACTAGTCACTTTAGATTATACAAGGATCAAACATAGAAAATGTTAAAAACCCAACCAAAAAACTCGAACAAAAAATAGTTATAAACAAATTTAAATGCATCGACAAACAAACCACAAAAAAAGATTAAACTATTGAAAGATCATCGAGAACCACAAATCAGAGCCAAGCATTGTGAGAAACTTTCCACAAATGCAAAATCATGTATTGAAATTCAATCAGAAGGTCTATAGCAGGAAATATCAACATGATTACAAATAAGCGTCATCTTGATCAGTTGTGACGTCTTCAAATTCAACAATTAGAAAACATAAAATAAAAAAACAGCCAAACGACCATGAAAGAAGATGAAAAACGCACCACAAAGATAGAAAAAAATATGTCATAAAGGCAGAGAAAAACGTGACACAAAAATAAAATTATTCTTATTAAAAAATTAAAAAATAAACAAAGAGGAAAGAGGAAAGAGATCCGATGGTTAGCAATCAACATCAAAACCGGTGTCGCAGGTGGATAAACAAAATCAAAGAAAAAAATTAATCTGATCTATAGATCAAACTCTAAAGAAAAGGGGTAGAGCGGCTAGCCTTAAGATTAAAGTCTTGATTTTATATTCAAATTTCATATATTTAATTATTTTTTAAACAATTTCTATTTAGGAAAAGGGAGAAAGAAAATTTTATTCTCAATAGATATTATATATTTTTATAATTCTTTTTATTGAGTTCAATGTAATTAGAAAAACATCAATTCAATTTAGTATATTAAGAAAATAAAAATAAAAAATATATGAATACAATTAAAAAATAATTAAGGATATATCTGTTTTAATTTTTTTATAGTAATAATTATCCATTAAAAATAACTATCCAGATTAAAACAGCTCCTCTAAAAAAGTTTCTTGTAAAGTATAATTGCCATTTTGGAAAAGAAAAAAAAATTCGTCCACTTGATAGATTCTTTCATTATTTTAATTTTATATGAAACAATATTTTTAAAATATTATATTTTAAAACATAAAACAATGTAATTTTTAAGAAAATTTTTTTTGAAGTTCATGACCAATTATTTAACCCAATTAAAAATGAACGTTGGGTACAAATTTGTTTAACTTCTTTTAAAGAAATTATATATTCAAACAAAAAACACTTATATTTATATATAAATATGTGGACAGAATATTTATTTATCATATATTTAGAACTAAAGTATTATATGCAGTGAGGGTTCAGGGTTTTCTCTTTTTATTTTAAATATTGTTGGTTTCTCTCTTTATTTTTATTTTTTTTGAATTAATCACTTGTATATGATTTATTGACCGATTAATCCAGATCAGGTACTGCAAAGGCGATATTTCTTATTTTTATTTCATTTTCTTATACAACATCTTTTTTTCAATTTTTAATAACTTTGTTTTGATGGTATATATTTCTCTGTCTTTATAGCACATTTTCTATATCTTTCAGCACGTTTTCAGTTGTTTGATTTGTTTATCTTTTTTTCAAGGTTGGGTTTGACATTCGCTATGACTGATCTAGATGTCGCTTATTTGTTATCATAATGATATTCTTTGATTTGGACGCTCGTACTGAATTTGGATACGTGATATGCGTTCGTGGATTGTTTTCCCACGTCGCTCGACTCCGATTTACAATTTTTCGGTGGTCTTTCAATAGCTTCATCTATTTTTGTGGTTCGTTTACCGATGTGGTGAGATATGTTCTTATCTATCTTTTGTTCAAGTTTTTTTATTAGATTTTTAACAATTTTCTTGTATGGTCATTGTGTGATCTTAAGTGACTAGTTTTTGTATAATTATAAGAGAATATCTTATTATGTGTTTAGTTTACGATTATGATTGTAAGCATTCATCGTAATTATGAATAATAAAACTAAAGACTTTTATGAGAAAAAATTATATGCAGTGGGTTTTTTTCTTTTTTCTCAACTTCTCTCTTAGTTTTCTCATAATACTTTTCACTGTTAATTGTGATATTAATCTTAAGCTGATTGTACTTTTTTTAAATATATATTTTTAAAAGTATGAAGCGCTTACAATAAATAAATATTTAAAATCTTTTTTAATCATTAACAATGTACTTATTTTATAGAAGTAATTGTTCAAATTAGAAACTACTAAAGAAAATAATACTCACTTTTATCATAGAAGTCATGTAATATTTTTTAGAATATAAGTTATATATGTGCAAATTTTTAAACACCACTGAAATTAAAAACCTCGATTAAATCTATACCAAATAATTATTCTAAAAAAGGTTTTTTTGTAGTTGTTTGGCACGGTTAATACATTGATATTTGATACAGTACCATGGGTTGGGCTTAAGACCTTAAAATATTAATTAAGCGTAAAATTGGAGGCTTTGTACTAGTCCATGTGTATTAGGTTCTGGGTGTGGTGGAAATTAACAACGATTAATTGAAGCACTTAATAACTTATCAAACTATAATAATGTATTTGTACATAACTCCTTCGGATGTAGTTAAAGGTGTTGATAGTGGCTCAAATCAAGCTGATAAATCTAATATCGCTGGTTAAAATGGGAGAAAGAGAAAATGCAGAATAACTACCAAATTATGCAAATTACATATGGCTCATAGTACATTCGCCTAACTTACGTTAATTATAAACCCAAATCCATTAACTATCATTATTGATTACATTAACTTTAAACATTAAAGACGATATTATTAAGAAGAAAAAACTTCAATAATTCTGTACATGAAAAACATTAGGTTTAATCGAGATAAAGTTGAGAGGTGGAGGTGTGTATTGTAGAGAGTGTTTATATTCGAATACCTGTATTTTTGGGTATTCGAGATACTAAATATTTGAGATTTTTAAATTTCTTGTGTCTCGGTCCATTATATTCGGGTATTTATAAAATTCAAATATTTATATTTTCGAGTCACAAGTACTTGATTTATTTTTATTTTTTTCTTTAAATTATATTATTTAAAAAAATTCATAAAAATTTAAAAATTTTAAGTCAATAATACATAATCCTCCTATAGAATTTAGTAATTAAAATTATCTTATCTAAAGATAAACTTAAAATTTTAGAAAATTATAATTAGAAAAATACACTTAAATTTAAAATGTTTAAAGGTTAAAAGAAATAATTAGAATGCGAGTACGGAATAAGTTAAGAAATCTAAAATTTAAAATACTATATTGAAATAATTTAAGAAATTGAAAATTTAAAAGTTTAGGGTGAAATACTATGGGAAATAAAAATAAAAATTTAAATTAAATTAAAAAATAAAACAAATATAATCATATACTCGTCGACCTAACGGGTCATAAATTTTACTCCATGACATTGAAATCTGGAGTAAGTACAAAGGGTTATATATGTTTAAATATAATTCAACTATTTGACATTGAACGCTAATACTTGTAATCACCATTTTTGCCATATACTATTATATATAATACTACTATTATTTATTAATATATATTACTACTACTATTATCATTATTGTTATTGTTATTATTATCATTTTACTATTGCTTTATTATTATTATAATTTTCATTTATTATTTTGTTATTATTATAATTATTATTTAATGTAATTTTATTATCACTCTTATTTATTAGTTATTATTACTATTAATTATTTTTATTTTTATTATTTTAGTATTCATTATTATTGTTATTTTATTTTATTATTAGTATTTATTATTAGCATAATAATTATTATTTCAATATATATATATATATATATAAACCCAATATCCATTTACATAACTAAAACTAAAATTCAGCCCAACTAGCCATTAACCCAAATAGTCCAAAATGCTAAGGGTTTGAGAAACCCTAGCTACACATTGGTGCCTCAGCAATGGCAACCTCCACTCATGCACCTAGTGGCCACATGAGTAGTACCAACCAATCGCCACCTGCACCAAGACAGCCCCACACACACACGCCCATCAGTGGCCCCAACAGATTCCATGAGAGCACACCGACTAGCAATGTGGTCCCAGCAACCACATTCATTTTATCAATTTTGAATTTTTTGACAAGATGTCAACAAGTCAACACAATTACAATACATTTCCATGTGAAAGGAAAAGATTTTAGTAGAGAATTAATTAACTTATTCATTTATGAGAGAAGTGGATCTCAGCAAAGATTCGAGAACCTTTGGGTTAATACATTCAGGTACTTCAAACACAATTGTTACTGACATATGATAATTCTTCTTACAGATTCAATTCCATCATAGAATGAGGTGGATCGTCATTTCCAATGGAAGGGTTCACAATGAGAAGAACTCATCCGAAAAGGGAAGAAAAGTTCATAATGAGAAGAATTTGTTCGACCTTTTACTCAAATCCATCACAGAAGGAGGTGGATCGACATTTCGAGTGGAAATGTTCATAATTGGAAGAACTCATCCGAAGAGGGAAGAGAAGTTCATAATGAGAACTTGTTCAACCTTTTTTACTTAAATCCATCACATAAT